GGCAGGCTGCACCTTTGGGCCTGCCTCTCTCACCTTCCTCCCATCAGGTTGGACCTTGAGGCTCTGTCTCACCTCCATCCTGTGAGGGCTGGACCTTTGGGCCCTGTCTCTCTGTCCTCTATCTTGTGAGTTTAGACCTTTAGGCCCCGTCTCCCTGTCTTCCATCCTGTCAGGATGGACCTCCAGGCTCTGTCTCTCTCACCTCCATTCTGTGAGAGCTGGACCTTTGGGCCCTGTTTCTCGGTTCTCTATGCTGTCAGGACGGACCTTTAGGCCCTGTCTCTCTGTCTTCCATCCTGTCAGGATGGACCTCCGGGCCCTGTCTCTCTCACCTCCATTCTGTGAGAGCTGGACCTTTGGGCCCTGTTTCTCTCATCTCTGTTCTGTTAGGCTAGACCTTCAGGCCCTGTCTCTCTCACCTCCACTCTGTGAGAGCTGGACCTTTGGGCCCTGTTTCTCTGTTCTCTATGCTGTCAGGATGGACCTCTGGGTGCTGTCTCTCTCACCTCTATTCTGTGCGAGCTGGACCTTTGGGCCCTGTTTCTCTGTTCTCTCTTCTGTGAGAGCTGGACCTTCGGGCCTGGTCTCTCTGTCCTCTATCCTGTCAGGTTAGACCTTCAGGTCCTGTCTCTCTCATCTCTGTCCTGTGAGGGTAGGACTGTCAGGCCCTGTCTGAGCATCGTCCTGAGCAGGGAAGGCAGGAAATCAAAGCAATCTGCACCCACCTTCCTTTTCCTGTGCAGACACTCAGTCCAAAGCAGACTCAAGGAAAGGAGGAGGAAAGCATAAACTTGGAGTGAAGCTGGCCTTTTCCATCATAACCCTGGTGCAGTAGCCCCAGCAGTGGACTCAAACTTGCCAGCAATCATGATGCTAATGCAGTCTGGGCAGTGTTTCACTCTGGTAGATACAAGGTCACCATGAGTCAGGGCCAACACAACGGCAACTAACAACAGCGACAATGAACCATGAGCCGTTCCATTTGGACTTCATCCACAGTGTGGTAAACTATGAACCCACAGAGCACATCAGAGGGCTGTGCAAGGAGAGAGGACGCTGTGCCTGGTCCCACTCCATGCACTCTATTTTCAACACAGTGGTTAAATGTAACGAGCAAAGGCTGGTATTCACAGGAGCAAATCTGTCTCTGTATCCTCTAAGAGCACAGGAGCAAACACATATTGGAAATAAGTCAGGAAAATTGACACCAATGCCGTGTGTGTGTGCAACACACTTCTCAGACAGGAGCATCACTGCCTAAGTCTATTCCTATCTTATCTCAAGTAAACATATTAAGATGTTCTTATTGAAGACTGTTGATCTTTTTAAAATTCAAGTCTTAGAATCTGGCTTTTGGGAGGAAGGCATTTACATCATTTATTGTGAGTACTTCTTTTGGAAGATCTATTTGATGATCATTGTAAAGCCCGTAATCGCAGATCCATGTCCCTCGGAATACCTGTGACAAATGTTGGTGCCTTTCCGGGAATGGTTTCCTTAATAGCTGGCAGTCTTTAACAGCCATTGATTTTGCAACCACCTCGGGGGTATGTGGACCAGCCAGTGCACCCCAGGCTCCCTCATGCATAACTAGGTCTACGACTTGGCCACAGCACCGTGGAGTGCTGCCTTACAGCTCTCCAAGGGCCACTTCTAGGGTACAGTCTGACATGCTTAAGCACTCTTTGCTTTGGGCCTCTCTGCAAACTCTGATGATGTT